CACACACACACACACACACACACTCCAATGCCTTCATATATATATATATATAAACTCAATTGGCCTTATCAACTAGCTTGGAGAAATCACTTGCTCCTTATCCTAGTTTGACTTTAAAACTCCATGATGCTCAACAGTCATTTCCCAAATGCTTTAAATGAGCGAGAAAAAAGTCGATCGCAGTATGAGATCAGGAGTGCCTTTTGAAGCCCAACAGGGCAATATGCAGGTTGTTTTCACTATAATCCTTTTGAAGCCCAACAGGGCAATATGTAGGTTGTTTTCACTATAATTTGGAGGTCAATGAGTGCGAGTCATTGAAATATCCCCACCACAAGTATGAGGGTAAGATTGCATACATTTAATCCCTTCTCACAACCAGCATTGGTGAGAGCTTTGTGCATGGCGTGCATCTTTTGTGTACTAGCCTGGTATAAATTGCTAATGTTTGTCATTGCTGATTGTAGAAGAAGAGAGGCGGCTAGATACTATATCTGAAGGTGTTAGTTATGAAGAATTTGGAAGTGACTAACAAAACAGCTAGTTCAAGAGTTATCCTTTGATGAAGCGCTTTGTTGGTGAGTCTAATCTTAAATTTGCAATTTTGGTTTTTGCTCTTTCTACATGATTAAATTTACTCAGCTATGAATTTCTTATGAAGCATAGAATAAAGTGTTTTTGAATCTCATGAACTGTAATTCAATGTTTCTATTGTTTTTTGCGTTCTCTTTATTTAGTAGTAAATGGTTTTTTGATTCAGCAAAACAACTGTAATATTCTGAGTCTCTATCTACCATTTATGACATCGGTAGCATGAACTTAATTGAATTTAAATGTTGCTTCTATTGGAGATTAATTTTTATGATTTTGGGATTTCACTTTTGGTGCTATCTGTTGGTATAATTTACTAGTTCAAGAGGTATGTACTTGAATGCCATATCTTTTATACTCTACTAAAGAAAAACAAATTAAACCTTGGAGATTAATTTTTATGATTTTGGGATTTCACTTTTGGTGCTACCTGTTGGTATAATTTACTAGTTATATATATATATATATATAGATACTAGTTCAAGAAGACTTCTGTAGTTGAATGCCATATCCTCTATAATCTATTAAAGAAAAACAATTTAAACCTTTAGTTGTTCTTTTTTTACATGAATCGAGAACTTTCCTTTGCAATGCAAAGGACTATATTCTTTGAGAATATAATCAAGTTAATTTACTTGAAGGGCTCTGAATTTTTCGAGACATTAATAGGCTATCTCTTTGACCTTATTGCATCCATAAGGTTGGTTTCCTATAGCTTGTTTGCTTCTATCATAGAGGGGATAACACTTCAGCCTTCTTTTCTTTAATATTGTTGTATGATCGTTGACATTACTATTTTTTAACCATTTTAACTTTCAATGCTCATGAGGAGGCAGATGCTTGTAGTGGCCTCTATTCATAACAGCGAACAGTGGAGAGAGAATGATGAAATATTTTTTGAAAATTAATTATTCTTCCCAACCATTATCCATCACCTACCAATCATCTTATTAAAATTTATTTTTTGAATGATTTAATGGGTGAGTGAATCCCCTTTTGTTAATTTATTCCCAGTTGTCAATGTTAAACAAGTCCATTTAGTTTTAGGTGAGTGAATCCTCATTTTATCCCATATATTTTATTCTTTTATAGTAATGAAATATCTTTTTCTATCTACTTCCAATTCTAATTAGCTGTCTTGTGCTATATTAAATTGGTAGTAAGGTAGGTTTCACTATGTCGTTGCTCGAGCTTTTTCGTAGGTGTTTTTCAACAATGATAGGGAAAGTACTTCGTTGAATATCAAATTTGTGGCTGCATTTCATACATGATGGGGAGAATGATGACTATCCATTGAAAATTAACCATCGCCTACCAACCTCTAAACATCTCATTATGTAGTACTTTCCAACCATCAATTTCAACTATCAATCATCTCATTTAATTGGTTAAAAGTTTATTTTTTAGGCTTTAGAAGGCATGGATATGAAAGGGTTTGAGAGAGAGCTTAGGGATGAGGGAGGTAGATATTCATCTTATTGAGATTATTTATTCGCTAATTGTTATGGGCGAGTGAGTTTCCATAGTTTTGGGTGAGCGAATCCTTATATTATCTCATGTAAATTTTCTTTTATTATAATAAAATTTCCTTTCCTATCTATGTTCAATCATACTTTTTGCTTTATTGAGTAGAATCAGAGATATAGGTTGATGCTGCATATGGGCTATTGTAGTGGCAACAGAGGAACTGTCCCAGTGACGTAAAAGTGATAACAGAAAGGGGAAGAGGAGTGATAAGCAAGAAAGGAAGAGTATTATAAAGGAAAAGAAGGCAGATGTCAGTGATAGAAATGTAGATGTCAGTGCATACCTACACACACTCAACCCGTTGCTTTTAGGGGAAGAAGAGTGACAAGCAAGAAAGAAAGGGGAAGAGAGAGTGATAAGTAAGAAATAAAGAGGTTTATAAAGGAAAAGAAGGCAGATGTCAGTGATATTATTAGTAGAATTCAAGTTGAATGGTTGAAGTAGAGGAATGCGTCGGGCTTGTTGTGTGATAGAAAAGTAAGTTGGATGATTGAAGTGGAGGAAAGCATCGGGCTTATTGTGTGATAGAAACCAACCCCCCCCCCCTCAAACTTATGGGAAAATTCTATAAAATGGTGGTTAAACGTGCAATGTTTTATGATACAGAATGTTGGCCATTAAAAGAGAAGCATAATATTAGTTAAGTGTTGAAGATATGAGGATGCTCAGGTGGATGAGTGGTTTTACTCTTAGAGACAGGATTCAAATGAGCATATGCGTGAAAAAGTTGGAGTAGGTCCGATGGAAGATAAGATTAGTGCGAGTTGCCTTAGATGGTTTGGTCACATAAAACATCAGTCTTTTGATGACCCGGTTATGAAAGTAGATGTATTAGATTTGACTTTTATTAAGAAAGGTAGAAATAGCCTAAGATGACTTGGTTAGAAAATAATGACCTTTCTTTATTAGATTTAAATGAGAATTTAACTTTTAACAGGGCACAATGGTGAAAAAGGATTCATGTAACTGACCCCAGATAGTGCGACAAAGTCTTGATATTGTTGTTACCACTTCTTTTCTCTTAAATTTTAAAATACAACATCAATTTTGAACAGCTTGGAAACAGGAATGGTAAGGCTAGACGGCAACAGCTTCAGAACAATAAGGAATTCTGAGTGCAGTTTAGGAGAAATGATCTTTAAAAAGAAAAAGTTACCGAGCAATAAAAAGTTAAATAATTTCTATGATTTAGGAACACATTTGATGTGTTTTGCCCTTCAGTTGAAAAGAAACAGCTCCGAGCTATGCTTTTGCTGAGCCCAGCTTCTTGCAAGTTTAAGGCCACTTGTTTTGCACTTCCTGATAACAACGTTGGGAAATAGTAGAATTCCATGAAAACACTGAGATTGAGAAAGAGCAGAAAAGAAAAATCAATGCATAAAAATACAAAAAATTTATACAAATTCACTCAATTGATTGCTACATCTTATTGTTGCCATTATAGATTTTTTTACTTGGTTTGATTGTGAGAGAATACAATCATAATTTCTCTTCTACAACAAAATACGGCATCTCCCTTCTCTTTATAAAGATAAAAATTATGTAAGCCAGAAAGTATAATAAATTCCCCAAATTGCAATAAAATAATTACAAATATTGGATATCTAGACCCACGGATAAGTTTGTGTAGGGTGTTTCCTTTAGAGGACAAAAATTATGTTCACAACACAACATTCTACCCTTGTGAATAGTTACATAGGAGAGCAATTGCCTTTCAAAGTGTGCACTTTTGAGGGCGTTTATCAATCATTGAAATTTTCAAGTAAAGAGATATGATAGTTCAAAAAATTGTGATGCTGTATGTTACCGGAGTATGAAGCAACACTGTGGAACCTTGGAATTGTGGATCGTCCTTGTTGCTTTAAGTAGGAAGAAAAGATTATGGTTAGGGTTATGCAAATTATTGTGGCTGTTTTCGTTCTTAAAGTTTGATGTCTTGTGCTCTAGCAGCATCTAGAGATTTGGAGAGATAGATCCTCCTCTCAAATTGAGGATCAATTATATATTAGTATTTTTACTCTGCTATCTTTGATTATTGCAATAAAAACTACTGTTTTTTTTTTCCTTGGAATTGTGGATCGTTCTCGCTGTTTTTTGTCAATATTGTTAGGGTTTACTTAAGATCTTCAAGTATTTCCTAACATATTTGTGGATATTTCATTTTAATTTTAATGTTCTAATTAATTTCCTTTTTTAATATTTTATTGTATAAGAAGAAATAAATACTGCTGCATCTATTGAACTTTTAACCGAAAATAGGTCCAAACATCATGAAATTATTATGTACGGTTACCGGATGCCGTTCGGAGGCTAATTAGGATGTGCCACGGCACTTTCTGTTGTGTATCGGTGTTGTGTACCGGGGTGTGATGGCGCATCCTAATTCACCTTGGACCGTCCAATAACCTCACGTAATAATTTCTCCCAAACATCAGGGCCATTTGATATGAGGGTAGGATAACAATTCCAAATTTTCCATTTCATTAGACACAACCTTGCAGTCAAAATTTTCCGGCAAGATTAGTGCCCTGTACTCTAGAACTCTTTCAAGCAATGTTGATTTTTATCCTTTTATTGAGTGTATTTATAAAATATTTTGTCATTTTTCCATGTAAAAAAAAAAAAATTGTGCCATTTTCATCCTTATTGTTCTCTGCTGCAGGATTTATGCACCAATTTGACTGCAGAATAGACTTTTGTACATAATAAGTTGTGTGCGATGCTTGAACGTGGCTTGGTGCTTGGAAGCTGAAGTTATTTCTAATGCTTGTTTTACTCTATCGTGTGAAATTTCTGTTAGATTTAGCTCTTTAGATAATATATGTCCTGCTTTGCATCCCCTATATTTTATGATAATACATCAAGTCTCTTAAGGTCCAAATTGGTTCCTTTAGTGGCCATAGATTTTAGAATTATCTGCATCAGTCCTTTTGTTTTTTCATGTAATCTACTGATTTGTTTCAGGAAGATAAGTTTCCAGATATATAACAGAAGTTGTTTGAAGCTGGAAAAGCATTCTGTTTTACTTGATTGTTACCACTTGTCTAATCACTCTTAAGGTAAAATTTTCATTTATCGTATTAATTGTCGATCATAAGGAACCGTTGCTTTCATTTTCCTTCTCAATCTGATTAGATAAAGAATTATTAGGCTTGAAGTAGAGGGAGAGAGAGAGAGAATGGTTTCAACTTTCAACAATTTTAGGTTACAAACATGTTAAAAATGATCATAAATATGTTAAGAGACTGAGGTTTGGATTTTATTTGTGACAATTTTTTTACTGCTTCTTAAAGTAGTTTTTTAATATAAAATTTTTATGAGCTAAAAAATTGTACTAAAAAGTTATTTTATAAAGCAATAAGAATGCTGTCCTATTTGTTTGGGATGATTTTCTTACTCTTTTGCTTTTATTTTTGTTGTTTTTTAGTAAATTTTTTGTTTAAGAAATTTGTATTAAAATGTCATTTTAAAGTAGTAAAAGAACCGTTCCGGGCAGCTTTCTTGATGTTTTATGAAGCTTTTTTTTTTCTATAATTTTTTTTTTAATTTGAAATTTTTATATTAGAAAGTTGCTTTATAAAACAATAAGAAAATTGTCCTAAATAAAATATTAAGCTTCATTTGTGATAGTTTTCTTCCTGCTTAAAATGACTTAGTAAAAAAATTTACGGGATAACTTTATTTATGCTTCTTAAAGCAGTTTTTTAGTAAAATGTCATTTTAAAGTAGTAAAAGAACCGTTCGGGGCAGCTTTTGCTTTTTTTTTTATAATTTTTTTTAATTTGAAATTTTTATATTAGAAAGTTGCTTTGTAAAACAATAAGAAAATTGTCCTAAATAAAATATTAAGCTTCATTTGTGATAGTTTTCTTCCTGCTTAAAATGACTTAGTAAAAAAATTTACGGGATAACTTTATTTATGCTTCTTAAAGCAGTTTTTTAGTACAAAAATTAAAGCTTTATTTGTGATAGTTTTTTATTGTTTAAATTTTGTTGTTTAAAAAAAAAAAGTATTTAAAAGTTATTTTTAAAAATAGTAAAAAAAGGTTCCCAAACAAAACTTGAACTACATCGAAAATAAAATTGTGATTCGGCACTAACTTTCTCAAACGAAAATGGGATTTTTTTTTTTTTTTTAGTTATTCTTTCTCGGAAATAAACAGATACCCACCGAAAATATATCAAAGAAAAATCTCAATGAATTCCTTCTTTTAAGACATATTTTATTAGCATAGTGAAATCAGTGGGAATTAGTTCCTTTTTTTTAATGCAATGTGACACGATACCGTGTAATCGTGACACGAAATCATTTATTTGTATCCTTTCTTTAATTGTATTGAAGTGGTATAAAAATAATTTACGACGTCGTCAAACTTCAAATGTTTACACCTACAGGCTACAGCCTTCCGCACTTAGTGTAACTTCTGTTATTGATTGTACAGATTTAATTGTTTTTAAAGATTTGTTACGTTTTTGTTTTTGTGTTCTGGCTGCTAAAATTAGAGGATATTTAATTGTTTTTTAAAGATTTTTTACGATGATTTTTATGCGGCTCATTTTGATATGTTGGTTGGATACTTTAGATATCAATCTAGAGGTATTGAATTTGAATATTCTCTATTTGAGTTTGCTTTATTGGGCTTTAATGTCAAAAAAAATAATAATCATAGGAGATCCTAGAGGTGTCAAAATGAGTTTTCGGATCAGGTTTGAGTTGGGTTGAATCTAACCCGACCTAGTTTAAATTGGTTTGAAATTTAGACCTAGATTTGGCCCGTTTGGTTACCGGTTGTCTCGACTGACTCGAAAACTCCAAATACAGCCCGCGAATGATGCGGGGTGCAAAGCGAGAGCAAGCCTGAGAGATGGGTGCGAGCAAGTGCCGAGTGTGGCCTGTGCGCAGTGCGAGTGTTGGTTCGAGTGAGGAGTCCGGACTCGAGCGTGGTAGGCATGCTACGTCGCGTAATGCGGAGCGATGTTGGCCGACACAAGCGAGGCCTGCACGCGGTGCGGAATGCGGACACGAGCATGGGATTATGCTACAAGCAAGGTTTCCGGTTCAACCCGATCCGCCCCAAACTTACAAACTGGTCGGAAAATGAAACTTAACTAGACCCGTCTGGCAAACAAGTTGACCTGAGCCCGAAATTTTCTGGCTAGGGTGGGGTTAAATGTCTAGATCTTTTTTTTTCTCTATGAAATAAGCTTCAAATTTTCCCTTATTCTTAATTTTTTTACTATATACTTTCTGTTTAAACTTTGTTGAATCTAAATTGAGATTAATACAATAAAAACATTTAAATATAATATTAATCTTAAATTAAATTTGATAAATATTTTGATATATATTATGTTTGGTACTCTGACACAAATTTTTTTATTGAATTTGGCTTATATGAAGAGTTATTATATTAATTTTAAAACAAATTTAATAATTTTTAATCTTCTTCTGATTCAAATTATAAGAAGATATCCGGCCGTTATTTAGGGCTTATTTGATTTAATTAGTTTTTCTAGAAATGATAATTAAAAAAAAATTCCATCATCGTATGATGTGATCATACTAAATAGTGGTTCTCATTATGGATTGTTATCATAGCTCTGTCAAAATAATTTGAATATATTTAGTGAGTCTTATGCTTTTTTTTTTTTACTATAATCAAAGAAGATTAGATTATTAAATTGGGATCCCTTGTTTAATCTCCTATAGTGAGATTGTAGGAAAAATGATGAAAAGATGATGACAATATTAAGACAATGTTAATCAGATAATGATGGTCTGACAACAGTAATCGAACTATGACAATCAGGTGAAAATGGGTTAGGCGACAATAATTAAATGATGACGATTAGTTGATGGTGAATGGACTATCATATATAGAAAATGATGATCAGATGAAGATGGTTGTTCGACAACAATAGCTGGATAGCAGCAATAACAAGCGATGAATGAAGGATTCGAACTTTGGGTAAAGCTCAATGAACAGTTCAATCTTTCTAATCTCCTATCTTGATGTCTTTATGTAAAATATGTGGTCATAATTATAATATTGCAGGAGTGATATTTTAATAAATATAGTCAAAACTTCATAACACTCAATCGGATAGCTCATATTAAATCATTTGATCATAAATCATTGTTCAACATTTAAGTAACTTACAGACCTCAAGATCAAATGATCTCGAGCTTATTGGATTTGTCTCGTCGATTCACTCGATTTGAATATAAGCATACAAAATTTAGAAATTCTTATATCCTTTAATTAATGCTATAAAAATTTCAACTTTATTTCAAGTGTTTAATTTGGGCATATTTGACTTGGATCAGACAAGCTTAAGCATTGTTGGGTTCGTCTTGTCAAGATGCTCAATTTGAGCATAAATTTGGTGGGATTAGCTTCACTAATACTAATAATATACTTACAATTATTTCATAATGATGATTCCACAAACTTTGAATAATAAATCTTGACACTTGGAATCAACAAGAAAAGCTCCACAATTATTTTATAATGATGAGGTTAGGTGTGGAGGATATTAGGGAAGAGAGAGAGAGAGATTAGGCTTAATTAGCTCCCTAATATTCTTTTAAATAAATTTGACTTTAGAGTTAGCTTAAACTTTAGCACATTAAATAAATAAATAAAATAAAAACTTAATAAAAAACAGCCAGGTTAAACTAAGACTAATTCTACCTTGCAAGTAAAATCAGCTTGGCTTAAATGCAGCCCCCAATCCCTATCTACTCCCTAAGCAATCCTCACTATTTATTAATTAAGAAGATAATATTATTAATTTCATAGTAAACAATTACAGCAATAATGATAAAAATTAATTTGTAGCAGTTAATTGCTTCATTAGGCTTTAATTGCATTAACATAATTAGTCTATTAATTATGTGATTAGCATTAGTTGCATCTAATACTTTTATTTAGTATTATCATAATTGATTATTAAATAGTTGAAGTGTGAATGTTATAGTAATTATTCAATTGATATTTGATAGTTTAATTAATTATAATTAATTAATTTTTTGTAATTTCTTTATTTTTATTTCTTTATATTAAGAATACCTAATGATAAATGATAGTTACACAATTAATTGCAATGTTAAATAATTATTTACTTACAACTGCTGAATAGTTAATAAAATTTATAATCATTATTTCAATTATCTAATTTTAGTACTTGATACGTCGTCATGAAATCATCTTGATCGGGTATGAATCTCAAGGCAAAAACCAATCAGAAAATTTCAAAAATTAAATTCGGGAGCACTTGAACTCCGATTTCAGCGAGCTTACAGTCAAACTGAGCGTCTCGGAAATACAAACCCAATGACACCAAATTCAACTCAATCCAAGTCCAAATGAGTCTGAATCGAAGACTCGAAGTGCTGTTGGAAGGTTCAAATCACAATTTGAGTTACCAAACGGTCTCCGATTTTAACGAGCTTATACTCGAATCGAACGACTCGACGAGACAAATCCAAAGATCCCAAGATCGCTGAATTTCGACATCAATAAGGCCTTCAAATGTCCAACGAACGGTGCACGATCGAAGGATTCAACATCAACCGTCCATTCGACCACTCCCTATTCGCCCCTGATCTTACACCTATTAACAAGCCATGCCACTCCAAAAAAACTATAAATAGAACCCTCATTCTTCACAAGAGGAGGGAAGTGAGAAGAGAGAGAAGAAGAGAAGAGAAGGAGGAGGAGAATAAGCTCCTCCTCGACCACCGCCGGAGTTCTTTCTGTCGCCTGAATACGCCGGAATTATGCCGGATTTTCGGGAGACGTCGGAATTCTGCAAAACTTTGTAACTTTGTTTCAATTTAGAAGAAACTGATTGTAATTTGATCGTCTTAACTTGTGTGACGAATCAACCTCTGTACTTCAAACAAACGCTAGTAGAATTACTTCAATTGGGCGTGGCCCCGTGGTTTTTCCCTCTTTCGGGTTTTCCACGTAAAAATTATGGTGTTCATTTTCCTTTTATCTTCTGTTTGTGTGTGCTAAATATTCGTACAACGTTTGGACGTAAAAATACGAACTCTACCGCCACGTATATTCTAGCCCGCAACAGTACTACAAATTGGATGCTAAAGAATTTTGAGAAATTATCATGAATTGCATATTGGCATCAAATCAATTTTAAAATTATAAGGAAATATATTCACCAATTAATGATATTATAAGCTTCATCCTTCATTTTTGGTGGAATTTAAAAAAAAAATTAAATATTAAATAAATGCCTCACAATAGGCTAATAAGCTTGTTGGATCCAAATATGTTTGTGGATGACATCCAACCTTACTAGCATGTAAACTCTGTGAAGGGTGAAAAAAAAAAAAAAAAACTCTGTGAAGGGTGACCTAGAACTTGTGAGAATGGAGCGAAAGCAGATTACTAGAAAATTCATAGAAAATGTTTAAGGAGCTCAAAATTTTATAAATAAATTTTAAAATTTTTCTAAATGCTATTTTCATCCTTTATTTATAAAGATTTGATGGCTATGAAAAAGGTCACACACATAAATAATAAGAATAAAATATAATGGTGGCAAGGAGCTGTAGCGAACAACTTGAGGGAGGTGGCGAGTCTTGTGGTTGCGAAGGTCCTTGATTGACCCTCCAAAGACGACTCCTTTCTGCTTTTCCTGACTAGAAGACCCTATGCTCCTGGGGCAAGCTCCTTTGTGGGACTCCTTCGAGGCGAGTTCCATTGTCGCAACCTGATACTTGAGAAGGTATATGACATGTAAAAAACACTCTTAATCAATATCTAAAATAGCTATGACATTTAAGGTTTACATTCTTTAACAAAATATATTACATACATTAAAGGACCAAAGGTGCATCAATGCATTTATTATGAATTATATGTATTTTATTCTTAAACCTATAAATATAAAAGTTATTTTGAAATATCAGAATGAGATGCATAAAAATATATATTATTAATAATATGGGTATAATACTTAAATATGCCAGTATATTTTTAAAGATTATTACAATAAAAATATTTTAATAATTCAATAAAATGTTTTGGCACAAGTAACTTTTCTAATTATTTACTTTCTTGATTTTACATTTATATCCATTTTGTTGTCCGTGGGTAGATTTATAAAAAATAAAGACAACCTACAGAATATGCAAAAACTCCTCGTTCACACTGGACCCCTTCGACCGGCTGTTCGGAGTATATGCTGGGAACGAAAAACTTCCGCTCGACTTCTTTGGACTCTTTAAAAATACTTTGGAGTGAGAAAGAGCATCCCTTGGCCGGCGGCGATTTTTAGCGGTGGAAAGCGACGGTAACTTGAAGACTCCGGTTATGGTTGGAGGAATGGGTTTGGAATATCTGGAATCACTCTGAGTTCGATCCGTTAGAGGAGGTAACATGGTGCGGCACCGGCGACATCCGACTGGTAGATAGGATGAACATGAGATTGGCTGCGATCGTGTTCTTCTTTGCGCTGTTTCGTGGGATTTGCGCACAGGAAGGTAATCGTTATCGATTTCTTCATCATCTTTTTTGTTTTAGTTTCTGCTCATGATCGTTCGAAAGGGGTGGTGGTTTTGAAAGTTGATGCAGCTTAGGTGTTTTTTTTGTGGATTTAAAGTGTAGAGGTGTTCATATGACTAGATTGAATAATTTCTAGAGTATTGATTGGGAAATCGAGCATGTCGAGAAGTTTGACTTCAATTTGTGGCGGAATTTTTTTTTTTTTGTCATTAATTGGCTCTTTGGATATTGTCCTTAATTTTTTAAAATTTTGTCTAGGCTATGCGTGATTAATACGTTTGCAATTAATGGAAGGTTCCTCAGAATGGGTACTTTACTAGTGGTATTAAAAATTATGTGGATTTTAAGTTCAGACAACTAAATGACTACTTGATATTGGCATTGATCCATTGAGCGTTTAGTTGGGATAGAGATTTTAGGTTTTTGGATTGGTAACATGCGAATATTGCATTGGTTCAATCACAGGTAGCCTTTCTTGTGTTTGTGAGAAGATTTTGCAGTACTTGCATACATTTTTTTGCTTAGGGATTCTCATGAGTGAAAAAAATAGTAGATACTGGGATATGAAAAGCCTAGCAAATTCGGAGTCTTTGCAGTAAACCTTTTTCTTGAAACAAATGTAAATGAAAATAAAATATCAATATATCAATCAAATTAGAATTCAGAATTCGAAATGAAAAGAAAAAAGAATGAATATCGACGATAAACTTTTTCCTCTCTAAGTACTTTTTGATGGCTATTGTAGCTCAGGTGTTTGTTTAATGGATTTAAGTTGTGGCCATGTTTTTCTAGGCTTCTAGCTTGATTGATAATTTGCAGAAGCATCATGAATACAATTTTTCACAGTTGACTTGAGTTTTTGGTTTGTTAATTGCATTATGGTTTGGAAATTGGCTATCATCAGTTCAACTCCTTGAGTTTTACATTATGTTTTTTAGGCTCAGCGAATTTGATAAGGTTGAGGTGAAAGAAAGGTTAATGCGATTGAATTCTTACTATTTTTCTTAGAAATTTGTGGCCTTTGGGTTAAGATTGATAGATAACAAGCTAGATGTTGGTGTTGAGCAGTAAAAACAAAAATGTATGTGGTTTTTGGACCTAGTTACATAAGAATCTCATGCCGTTTCAATCAAAACTAGCTGCTAGAATCTCTTTTGTGGTCCTTTATTAGGGGAAGATGCATAGAGATTTTTTGCTAAGGGAATAAAAGAACATGGAAAACACTGTGATTTGGCAAGCCTAACAAATTTGGAGCCTTTGCAGTAAACCTCATGATCAAAGTTAAATGATACATACAAGGTATCATGCACTTTGGTCTCTATGGCGTGAGGACCATTTGTTCACCAGTTATCCTTTTCACTCTCTAAGGTCCTTCAGTTTTTAAGAAAGATGCAAATAGGTCTTTTATTTCAGCATGAAACGTCTAAAATCAGTGTTAACCAACCAAGGCATTTATCAAATGAGCTTATTCACCGTTTGATTTTTTAAGTGATCAATATGGCCCTCCACTAATCACTTTTCATCTGCTTTGCAAAAATCATGTTGCTTACCTTAAAAGCGGCACTCGCTTAGTATCATCACTATATTTACACAATTGTATTCATTTGTAAAAGCTCCCCCTCATCTTAGTATGATGACATCATGTCCCTACATGACTCCTTCAATTATTTCAAGTTCCTTAAGCAAAACTCAAGTTTTCCACCACAATATCAAACATATAAATTACAACATATTGCAAAGCCAACACATTACCATGTTGCTTTCAAATCTCTATATTCTAAACTTTTGATTTTTTTTCCTGTGGAAGAATGGTTTTGCTAGTGAGGTAATTATCTTTCCCTCTACCTCTAATAAACATCATAACTATTTGGTCACATAAAATGGTGGCCTTCTGATGACCCGGTTAAGAAAGCAGATGTATTAGATTTGACTTATGTTAAGAAAGGTAGAGGTAGACCTAAAAAGACTTGGTTAGAAAATATTAGAAATGACCTTTCTTTTTTAGATTTAGATGAGAATTTGTCTCTTACCAGAACACTGGAGAAAAAAGATTCATGTAGCCGACCGCACATAGTGGGATAATGGCTTCTTCTTCTTGTTGTTATAGTATTCACCTTGTGCCCAATAATTGATGAATTTGGGAAGTTTTCTTAACAACTAAGATTGTCATGAGGAAATGATTCACGACTAGAGGTGGCGTCAAATGAGAAGCTTCTATCAAAGGCTATTTTGTATTTAACTATCATCACGATTAAGATAGAAGGTGAACAAGGAAAAGAACTAAAGAATTAAAAGGACAAGGATGGTCAGAAAAGATAGCACTAATATAATGTGAGAATTATAGAAGAGAAAGGCTAGTTTTCTTATTCCAGCGAGCAAGTCAAAGTATGCTATATGTATGATGACCTATTGTTTGAGGTATTAAAAAGGAAAACAAATCAGCACAAATATTGGGAAGTAAATGCTTGCAAATTATCTACCTTTCAATCAATATAAGGGCAAGGAAATCAGGGTACTATCATTAGCAGTAGCAGAAATTTCCTTAATAGGTTGCAGTGAATTACTCAGGAAAAACTGTCACCTCCTGCTGGTCTAGTTGTCGAGAATGGTTGGATTGATTGCTGCGAGTGTTTGGTGGCAGCTTTTACCTCCTTTATTACTGTTTTCCGCTCTTTCACTTCTTCCCAAATTTGATTCCAGATATTTGGCAGCGAACACTCCTTCCAATTCTTTATGTGACTTGATATCTTGGCCTTTATCAGAATCACAAACTCATTTAGCCAGTTCGTGGTGAAGCACTTATGTTTTGCAAAGGGAGCTCTTAGAAGGAAACTGATACTTAAATTGGGAAAAAAAATGTTTCTTCTTTCTTTTGGTTGATCTGCTCCTGAATCACACAGGAAGAATGTCTAAATAAATTAGTTTACCTTTATAGGAGAAAATGAAGTTGATGGGATTGTTTATCTAACTAGAATTGAGATAAATCTCCTTTTTAACTTGAATAAATTTTGAACTATGGTTTGTAAGGATGTCAATTGAGGAAAGAATGGGGATAATGGATCGCTTTTGAGTTACAACTGATTTGCTTGTGTAATTCGGTCGCAGCTATGCACCTGACCCTTGCCAGAAGAAAAAAAGAAGAATGTGCGCACTTGTCTAAGTGCTTTATGAATTATGATGTGATCATCACAGATTTTGTGGACCCTGACTTGATCGTAGAGTTTGCCTAAATATCCATCACCATAGATTATTAAAATGTTTTAAATGTTTTTTGCTATCTCCCATTCATTTATACAGGGGACTAGGATTGAAAATCAAATCAAATCAAGTTGCTTTTGGCTTAGAACCTAAAACCAAAGCATATATGCCAGGCTTTGACAACCTGATGTGCTGCCGAATACCCAAGAAATGAGTAAATTGGAGTACACATACGGTGGAAATGAGAACTGACCTAGTTTTTCTATGGCTTAGATTATTTTAGAATTAGAAACGGACCCAATAACTGTAAAAAAAAAAATAGATATGAATCAGATTTGGAAAACAGAGTTAAATTTAGTTTGATCCCCTTTTTGCCCGACCACCCATCTTTGCATCTCCAAAGGGAATTATGATAGAAGTTTACCAATATATTCACTTTTCTATGCCGAAGCCTTTTACGAATTCTGTAAACTTTAAATTTGGTGGATATTGACGGTAGTTAGGTTATTTACCTGAGTGGAAGAAATTATTACAGGTAGGTTTATCTTTATAGCTGATCTCATTTAGGTGCATGACATCTGATGGTATTTTCACGTAATGGTAGATCGTTAAGGCATGGTAGAGTTTAGGTTTAGTCCTGCATTGGATGGTTGAAATATATTTGTGTGGAAATATCAACTGGTTGAAAGTGGTTTGATTGCCAGCATACAGAGCGCAACTTAGACACCCTTTGATTCACTCTCTAGCACAAGGCTTATTTAAATTTTGTCAAATTGAAAGTAAGTTGTGTTCAGTTTAGTTTTCATGAACCCTATGCCATTTGCAGCCTCTTTCTCTGTTCATTTTTATTTCTTGCTCAAGCAATTATGTATGTCAAGTTGTCTACTGTTTAGTTTCTGCAAACGCTGTTGTATGATTATAATGTTTTTTGAGTATAGTGTGATTGCATATGCAGGTTTTGTTAGCATTCAGAGTTGTTCGGCATCAAATTTTACTGATCCAGGGACCAACTTAACGTGGACATCAGATGACCATCTTTTTCATAGTGTTGGGAGATGCGAGTCCTTTTCTGTTTCATCAAGAACTTCTAGCCATACAAAAACCCGTTTCTTTGACAAGGCTGATTCGAACAGTTTCTGCTATTATCTTCCTGTACTTCAAGGCCAGGAATACCTAGTGAGGGCTACATTTCTGCATGGCCCTATTCCTGAACCTCTCACTGCAACGTCATTTAAGTTCTCGATTGGAGCCACATCAATCTCACAGATTGATTCATCTCTAGAATATTTCGAGGTTGAAGGTGTCTTTATTTCAGCCACTAATGACCACACAAATTTCTGCCTTCTGAGTGAGACGGGTAATGCTTATATATCTACGTTAGAGTTGAGGCCGTTAAATGAGGCTATTTACCTTAAAGGGAATAAGTCAAATGCTCTAAAGTTGGTCACTCGAGTTGACCTTGGAAATAAGAATCTGGATTTTAGGTACCATGTCTTTTTAGCTCTATTTTATATTCTGGCCTTGCTGACACAGGCATATGATGCTACCATTAGAATTTATGCAGTCTTGATGAATAAGCCATTTTTTTGTTCTGGTGAACAGGTTTCCCAAGGACCTTGCAGACCGCATCTGGCCTGTTGATCTTGGGGAAAGAGGTTTTTTCAAAGGCAAGATATTGGAATCACCTGATATATCTTTGCATGGATCTAATATCTCCATTCCACTTGAAGTTCTCCAGACTGGTATCACAGATGATGACGAGTTGGTAATTTATCATAAAGATCTTTTAACAGACCATAATGACTTTCTTATCATCCTTTATTTCCTTGAGCTTGATGCCAATGTACAAATTGGGCAAAGGGTCTTTGACATATATCTAAATGGTGATAAAAAGTATGCAAGCTTTGATATACTGGAAAATGAAAATTCTTCCAACTACAGAGTAATCTCCTCTAGGGTGAAATCAAATGATTTTCTCAATATCTCTCTAGTTAAAGTGCTGAACGAAGCTAAGTATGGACCCATATGCAATGCTTACGAGATCTACCAGGTACTCCAAAGAAGTACTGAAACGATTCAAAGAGATGGTATGCTGTGTCTTCTAAGTCTTCTTAGCATTGCGATTTGGTTTTCCCTAGTTTTATTGATGCTGGTATCCAAATCATGCATGCATTTGATGAAAATCAATCCTAGAGTGGTAACTTGAGGACCTATCAACATCTATTAACATTTAATAGATTAAAATATTAGAGCCTTGTGGGAACAGCACCTATAATCTCTTGCAGAAAACTCTTTAATTATTTAACATTATTTCATAGTTTGCACTACATGCTATTTCACTTCTCCTGTGGCAAATGATTACCAAGCAAGGACTAGACTTTTGAGAATAATTCTAAAGATGCTCATAATAGTTAACTTAGTCTGTTGCTATGTTATGAATTTATACACTGTCAATGCATGCTTGGTCATGATTTTATGTCCATGCACGGCATAATTTCGATTAGGAGGATATACATACATACCACTAAAACCTCTACTATTTAAAATTTTGGCATCTAAACTATTTTATTTTCCTGCATACCCCGTGAACCTTTTACTTGGCAAATATATGACTCTTTATTTTCATCCTTTTGTTGATTGTTTGGAGGCATATCCACTGAGACTCAAGGAAATGGCACCGATGGAGACCTCAGCAAGGTCAACGATAAGGAGGGAGAAGGGGGTGGCTGTATTCAAGAGAAAAGTTAACAAGGTTAAAGGGGATGGTGAGGCTGTTAGAGATGTCGATGATGATTTGTTGGTGGTGAAACTCCTCTTCGTATGATGGACCATAAGCTTCTCCAGCAAGCTTTCAACTACCAGAGATCACCCTTCATCAAACAAAATTAAAATTCTTAATTTTTATCACGATAGAGAAAGAGAGAAGGAAAAGGTTGGAGTTGCTCCAATGGCAAATAAGATTAAAGAGAGTTTCCTTAGATGGTTTGGGCAAAAAAATATTAGCCTTTCGATTATCCAGTTAGGAGAGTAGATGTATTGGATTTGATCTTATTAAATTTAAATGATAATTTGACTCTTAATAGGACACTATGAAGAAATGGATTTATGTAGCTAACCCCATGTAGTGATAAATGATTGATGTTGTTATTGTTGTTGTTACATCTCCTTTTGAGTTTGTCTGAGAAGCTTTTAATCTATCACAAGGAGAAGCGTTTCACTGCCAACGAAATCTCATGCGACATCATCTACGCCTCTAACTACCTCATAGTCCCCTTCTCTTTCATCGTTGACCTATCCAGTGTTGCCTCTCGCTTCTCCCTGTCGACGCCATCTCTATGAGCCTCGGCCGGTAGTTCTCCAGAAAATCGATGAGTGATGCAAACTGAAAGTGATATTTTTGTTGTGTTGTAATAATTTAAGTGGTATGTAGGTAGATAGAATAATTTTGGCGTTAAATATTTCTTGAATAGAGATTTTAATGATATGTATAATGTTTTAATAATAAATTTTTTTGTGATATGCATGTAAATCCCCATTCCCTTTAATACCCATGTATGTGTCGCATGATTACGCATAAATATTCATAATAGAACTTTAGTTATATAATTCTTATGCATATTTATTGATATATCTGTGCTAATATGCACATGAAAACTGCATAAAGCTTGTTCCACAGGGATGAGGAGTAACATTATTAGATTTCTTTCTTTTATACTATTTTACTTGCTTCTCCGTGTTTTATTAAGGAAGCTCGGTTGTGGTTACTTTACATTGAAACTCTATTTCATAGGTGAATGCTTTCTTATTGTAGTTGATACGATATTAATATATGCTGTAAGTCTGTAAGATTGTATTTCTTAAACTGACGCAATATGAAATCACTTTATGCATTTAATCTTGGACCCTTTTTTTTCTGCCAAATCAAGTGATTAACTCTCTCACAATTTTGTTCAGTAAATGCTGCCATCAAACTTAAGGATGAGCTGATAGAAGAAAATCCCAAACTTGAGATCTTTCGAAATTGGCATGGAGACCCATGCACTCCTTATTTTTGGAATGGTCTAGCATGTGAGGAGATAAATTGTTCCTTTGTCATCACGAAGCTGTAAGTATGTCTTATCATTAAGAAGCTGCTAACTCTTTTATGCTTTCACTTATAATCACAAAGCTTGCGAACTCAGTGATGTATAGGTCCTGTTTGGCCCACTGTTGTTGCGGACTAATATGCAGTAGTCAATATCGTGTTACTGCTGCATTTTCTTGGTTCAATGTGGTTGTAGTGGGGCGTACCCAAACAAAAAAGATATTTCCAAGATAGTGGGTTGTTTGTGCTGTCAGGAACACAATATTCCCATGTCATTGTGTTCATCGTAGTGTGTCTTATGGCCCAGTGGGCCTTTTGTTATCAATTTCCTATTCCTTTTGTCCCGTGATTCATGTTGTTCTATGCTACCGTTTTTTTCATTTAGTTTTTGTCGTCACTTCTGTTTTTAAAGTACCATTTCTTTGCTATTCTTTTACTTCTTTTGAGTTTTCTTAAATATGTTCCAATGTTGAAGGATTAAAAATTTTCATAATTTACTCAGAGATCTTTCATCAAGTTATCTGCGAGGACCACTTCCTTCAGCAATTGGAGATATGACAGAACTCAAGGAACTGTATGTTTTACTTATAAATGGCATGGGTGACTCATGTTCTGCAATTCCCAGTTTGTATCATTCTAGGTAGCTGAATTTTTCCCATTTTAACAATTTTATTGTCTTTTTCTAGATCCATACAATGCAACCCTCAGCTGAATTGCAAAATACCACCCAGCTTGTCAAGTCGGAAAAATTTTACTGTTATGTATGTAAGCTACAAAGCGGTTTCTCATATCTGTACAATGCTTGTCTGGAAGCCTTCTTATCATTAACTTATGTTCATTTTTCTTTTTCCTGCCAGTTCCGGACCATGTGATTCTCCATCTCCTATGAAAAGAAATATTGGTGTCATAGGCAGTGTTGCTGGAGGTTCTGTTGGAGTTACATTTGCCTTGGGCATTTTTTTCAGCTGCTTTTACAAGCGTCCTCGTAGAACTTTGAAAAGTAGTTACCCTGGAAGCAAGAGTATGATCTCTATTATAATTATCATTTTATTTTATGAAAGTCGTCAATTTATAATGGATTATATTTATTTTATTGTTCTTTAAAAATTTGTGTTCGATTTCCGTAATGGTATCTGAGAAGTGTTAGTCTGACCCCTAGCTGCCACCCCCATCCTTTCCGCTCTCTTGTGTTAATTGACTCTCAAGCAAGGTTTAAAATTGCGTAAATAAGCCTCGAGGCGTTTTTCGTCCGTGAGGCGAGGCGTAAGCCTCGAGAC